TCCTCCACAACTAGACTGAAGAACAAAACGACAGCAACTTGTCTGTTCCCCTTCCCCCAATTCCCCAATAAAAAAATCTTCAAAAAAAAAAAAATGAAACACAACCCGGAATATTGTAGTTTATGCAAGAGCTGAATGGTTCCCAGTTGAAGGGACCGCTGGCGGCAGCAGCAGATGGAGGAGTTGGCCCCGGTCTCGGGGAGTCTCCCCTTTTGCCCCTGTAAGGTGAAGAAAAATAATTTTCCCTCTACCCTCCTGAGTTCTAGGCTGAGACTTCTGTAATAAAAGACATATCAACAAGAGAAAAACAAATAGAAGCGTATTAACATGTACACCTCAGGTAAACATGGGAGACACCGAGGGAAAAATGAGTAACTCAAAGAGGTGGCTTGGAATTCCGGCTTCGATACCATCTTAATAGGGAAGAGAGAGTAGATGAAAGCCTCTCAGGGGAGAGTAAATGGTTTTTAGAAAGGTGAAGGGCCCTTGGAAGAATGGATGGGAGGTATGATAGGTTGTGACGAAGTTTGTCGGGGTGTCATGTCACCTTTTAATCTCCTCTCCTGTGATGAGGGTCAATCTTCCCCAGCTGAAGAAACTTCCAGGGAGGGGACTTGTGATAATTTGAGTTCCCTGTGAAGGATAAGTCTTTAAGCAGGTGGGGAGCTCAGAGAAAGCCTGTCCCGCATTTGCTGGTTTTCAAGTGCCTACAGCTCAAAATAATCAGACTACTAAGGTAGTATATTTTGGGGTGTCACATTCTGCCACCCTTCACCCCTTGATCAAGTCAGGAAAGCAGGGGACCCCTTGGCCTTCCTCTCCTGCCTCAGATCCTCCCGTGAAATCCACCGTCAAGCTCCATCAGTGCTACCTCCTAAAAAAAAAATCTCTGACTCGCCCCATCTGGTTCCCTAGACCAGGAGATAGGAGCTGGGCGTTGTTTACACGCTCCCCCAAGTAGTTCTCATGTGAACCTGGATTAAGGGATTAAGATCAGTGTTCCAGCTCAGCTGTTCTGAACCTCAGTGGGACAGTGGAGTCACCTGGGGGCTTTTGAAGCTCCCGTGGCCTGGGTCACATGGTAGACCAATTGGCGGGATCCCTGGGTGTTTTGCAAGCCACCTGGGGCCTCCAAAGTTCCCCAGGGTTTGGCATCACTGCTCTGGATGCTTCTCTTGCCTTCTTATTCCTCCTCTACACAGCCACCAGAGGATCTTTGCAACCACAAATTTAATGCTGGCACCCTCCAGCTTAAAATCTTCAAACTAGGGAGTTTAGGATAAAATTCAGAATCTGAACCTTGGATTCCGAGACTGTTCCTGAGATGTATCCAGGGTACCCACCAGCCTCCAGCAGGGGTTCTGGAGGGGTGCCTTGCTTCTTCCTGCCCCCAGGGATGTGAAGGCAGACCAGGGAGCAGTCCACTGAGGCAGGGACGGCGTTAGAGGCAGAGGGAGCAGACCCACAACCTCCCAGGTCTTGGGGAGTGAACCGACAAGGAATCCGGGACAGTGTGCACACGTCGTAACACTTGTCGCACTGGATTCAAGTCACTCTGCATGGCTGATCCTCCCCTCTCATCTGGCAAGGCCTTGAGAGCTGCCCTTTGCTCTCGTGCCTGGTTCATCTCTGCATTCCCAGTGGCCAGCACAGCGCTTGTCTGGCACATACAAGAAATGCATGTTAAAGGATGAAAGAGGGCCACCAGAGAGGCCGGCTTTGGACTTGGGCAGGGCTAGAGCACACGCATCTACTGTGCACCTGGGCTTCCTGGGGAGTGGGAGAGCAGAGGTCAGAGAAACCAGCATGACCCATCCCAAGCTGAGAGTTTGGACTTTGTCCTAAGAACAAAGAGGTGTCATGGAAGGACTTTACACTAGAAGCAACATGACCAGATTAGCATTTTGAAGAAATAATTCTGGGGGCCGGCTGAGTGGCTCAGTTGGTTAAGAGCTCACTCAAGAGCGTGAGCTCTGGGCCGGCCGAGTGGAGCGCTGGTTAAGAGCTGGCTTGGGAAGCCAGAGGGCCCCAGTTTGGATCCCACATATGAGGGCCAGTGACACTGCCCTCCACATCTAAGATGCTGAACAACAGCTCAACCTGGAGCTGGGCTGCCGTGAGTCGTTGGCAACGGTGTAGGCTGCAGCCCCTGTGGCAGTGGGTTGCCATGGGCTACTGTGTGTAGCCAGCAGCCAGCATGAGCGGCCAGCAGCTGCAGTGAGTGGCCGTCCAGAAGCCGGCGACTGATCTGCCTCGCCTAGGAAGAGCGCAATGATGGTGCCAACTTGGGCCAGTGAAGCAACATCCTCCACAACTAAACTGAATAACAAAAGGACAGCAACTT